CGAAGCACCGTCATGATCACCATCGTCACCGGCGCGACACCTTGATCTCCATCGTAGCATCGTTGTCGTCTCGCCAATCTTATGCTTCCACGACTATCACTACCGTTTAGTAATAAAGTAAAGCATTACATCGCGATTGCATTGCATACAATAAAGCGACAACCATATGGCTCCTGCCAGTTGCCGATAACTTGGTTACAAAACATGATCATCTCATACAATAAAATTCAGCATCATGCCTTGACCATATCACATCACAACATGCCCTGCAAAAACAAGTTAGACGTCCTCTACTTTGTTGTTGCATGTTTTACGTGGCTGCTACGGGCTTAAGTAAGAACCAATCTCACCTACGCATCAAAACCACAACGATAGTTTGTCAAATAGACTCCGTTTTAACCTTCGCAAGGATCGGGCGTAGCCATACTTGGTTCAACTAAAGTTGGAGAGGCAGTCACCCGCAAGCCATCTCTGTGCAAAGCACGTCGAGGGAACCGGTCTCGCGTAAGCGTACGCGTAAGGTTGGTCCGGGTCGTCTCGTCCAACAATACCGCCGAACCAAAGTATGACATGCTGGTAGGCAGTATGACTTGTATCGTCCACAACTTACTTGTGTTCTACTCGTGCATATAACATCAACATCATTAACCTAGGCTCGGATGCCACTATTGGGTTTCGTAGTAATTTCAAAAAAATTCCTACGCGCACACATGATCATGTGATGCATAGCAACGAGAGGAGAGTGTTGTCTACGTACCCAACGCAGACCGACTGCGGAAGCGATGACACGACGTAGAGGAAGTAGTCGTACGTCTTCACGATCCAACCGATCAAGCACCGAAACTACGGCACCTCCGAGTTCGAGCACACGTTCAGCTCGATGACGATCCCCGGACTCCGATCCAGCAAAGTGTCGGGGAAGAGTTCCGTCAGCACGACGGCGTGGTGACGATCTTGATGAACTACAGCAGCAGGGCTTCGCCTAAACTCCGCTAGAGTATTATCGAGGAATATGGTGGCAGGGGGCACCGCACACGGCTAAGGAATTGATCACGTAGATCAACTTGTGTCAACTTGTGTGTTTAGAGGTGCCCCTGCCTCCGTATATAAAGGAGCCAAGGGGGGAGGGTGCGCCGGCCAAGAGAGAGAGGCGCAGGAGGAGTCCTACTCCTACCGGGAGTAGGACTCCCCTCCAATCCTATTCCAACTAGGATTCCCAAGGGGGAAAGAGGGAGAGGGGTGGCCGGCCACCTCTCCTAGTCCTAATAGGACTAGGGGAAGGGGGGAGGCGCGCAGCCCCCTTGGGCTGCCCCTTTCTCCTTTCCACTAAGGCCCATGATGGCCCATATGGCTCCCGGGGGGTTCCGGTAACCTCCCGGTAACCCGGTAAAATCCCGATTTCACCCGGAACACTTCCGATGTCCAAACATAGGCTTCCAATATATCAATCTTTATGTCTCGACCATTTCGAGACTCCTCGTCATGTCCGTGATCACATCCGGGACTCCGAACAACCTTCGGTTCATCAAAATGCATAAACTCATAATATAACTGTCATCGTAACCTTAAGCGTGCGGACCCTACGGGTTCGAGAACAATGTAGACATGACCGAGACATGTCTCTGGTCAATAACCAATAGCGGGACCTGGATGCCCATATTGGCTCCTACATATTCTACGAAGATCTTTATCGGTCAGACCGCATAACAACATACGTTGTTCCCTTTGTCATCGGTATGTTACTTGCCCGAGATTCGATCGTCGGTATCCAATACCTAGTTCAATCTCGTTACCGGCAAGTCTCTTTACTCATTCCGTAATACATCATCTCACAACTAACATATTAGTTGTAATGCTTGCAAGGCTTTATGTGATGTGTATTACCGAGAGGGCCCAGAGATACCTCTCCGACAATCGGAGTGACAAATCCTAATCTCGAAATACGCCAACCCAACATCGACCATTGGAGACACCTGTAGTACTCCTTTATAATCACCCAGTTACGTTGTGACGTTTGGTAGTACCCAAAGTGTTCCTCCGGTAAACGGGAGTTGCATAATCTCATAGTCATAGGAACATGTATAAGTCATGAAGAAAGCAATAGCAACATACTAAACGATCAGGTGCTAAGCTAATGGAATGGGTCATGTCAATCAGATCATTCTACTAATGATGTGACCTCGTTAATCAAATAACAACTCATTGTTCATGGTTAGGAAACATAACCATCTTTGATTAACGAGCTAGTCAAGTAGAGGCATACTAGTGACACTCTGTTTGTCTATGTATTCACACATGTATTATGTTTCCGGAAAATACAATTCTAGCATGAATAATAAACATTTATCATGATTATAAGGAAATAAATAATAACTTTATTATTGCCTCTAGGGCATATTTCCTTCACAACGGCATGCATGCACGGGCGGCACACGCAGAGAACCCGGGGAAGGCGTGTCCCCTTGACCCACGACGGCACAGACGCGTGCGTGAGCCCGTCCCCCTTGACCCACGACCGGTGGCACAGAAGCGTAGCAGTCCGTTTCCCACGGCCACGCTCGTGTACATGCTTTCATGGGGCGCCACCAAACGCCGCCCGCCCATTAATTCTAGGGTTTCGACGGGGTGAAACGACGTCGCACTTGGGCTATTTAAGCCGGGCACTATCGTCCTCTCCCTCCTCATCCATCATACCCCATCCTGTGCCTCCTCTGCCCTTCTTCTTCATTCTTCTCAACCCGACCGAGCACTCGAGCCACCCCGCCACCATGCAGTACACCGCCCCCACCTACCGCTTCCCCCCAACCGTGCCGGAAAGGCTCTACCCGGCCGGAGTGTATGTAGAGAGAACCCTTAGGGTTTGGGCGATCTCGAGATGGAGGGGCGCAAGGGAGTTAACGGAGTTCTTCCTTGCGGCCGGCTTCCGCCACCTCCCCCGCGGCTCTCCTCGGATGTACCATGTTGAGGAGGTCAACCACAACGGCGTTGTGGTTGGGCTCCTCGCCACGTTCACTAACCCTTTCGATGCTTTCCATCTCCTCGGGCGAGCGTATTGGGTTGGTTGTGAGTTCATAGCTTTCACCACCTACAATATCTTCACCGACTTCCAGAGCATCTTCCCCAACAACGGCGTTATGCACACGCTCCCGTACCCCATCAACAATGGGGAGGAGTGAAGGACGGCGCCCGGAGGAGCGAGGTGGCGTTGTTCCCCGGGAGAAGGAGAAGAAGAGCCCGAAGAAGAACCCGTGCCCCCCGATCTATCTAGCTTATCGTATTAGTTTTTTTAAGTTGTATTAGTATTTTAAGTTGTAAGGCTATCATGGAGTTGTAAGGTTATCGTGGAACTATGGGTTGCAATAGTTATGCTACTATATATATTGTGTGTTTCGTGCTATTATTTGAAGATTGCTATGGAGGTGGGCTGGTGCCGCTACGCGGGTGGGCTGGTGCCCCTACGCGGGCGGGCTGGTCTCTATTTTGGGCATGGTTATTTTCTCAGGGTCCATTTTCTCACGGCCCAACATCTATTCGGCAGCCCAGTTTTGTTTTTTTTACTAGAAACTGAATTTGGGTGTGTACTCTGTTAACTGAAGAACAAAAACAGAGGAAACAGAGCATCAACACTGAATATGGCCCCTGAGAATATCATTACAATAATTCAAGCAAGTTTTGCTTCACACGAATTCAAGTTCATCTAACAAATGATCCCTGGCTAACTCAAACTACTGGGCACCCCTGAAACTAGCTGACTAACTAACTGAAACTATAACAAATTCTAGCGATTGATGAACATCAAGTAAAATAAACCCATAGCAATGACACAACCATAAAATTCTCCCGCCATCATATTTGCTTGTTGCTTCAAATCGATCAGATGCTTTAGTTGCTTGCCAATTTTCTTCAATTCACACTTCAGTTCTGCACTGTGCATCATCGGATCGGCTCTGTCCGCCAAATTGGGGGCTTGTTCCACGGCAAGCCGCCCCCCAAAATTGAGCTCTTGGGTTGGGGTTGATCCCTCCAATTTCAACCTTTCAACATATTCATCGAGCCACTCAAAATGCCCACATTTCTTCAGAACCTGAAAACAGGGGGCCGGCGGCGCATGAATCCTAGATCCACCACCCAGATCCACCGCCCTAATTCGAGGGAAAAAGAAAGAAATCGGGAGAAATTAGACCATAGAATTGGTCAAGAACACAGATCTAACCTGCCCCGGCTGTGGCTTGCTCAAACATTTCACAAACGCGCGCCCACGGTTGCCATTTTCTTCCCTCACACAAGTCAAACGCTTGAGAGGCTCCATGCGTGGGCAATCGGGGCATCTTGTCAATGGCAGTGGACCATACTGCGTCCATGGTTGGCAGGTGGCTGAAGTCGAGCTAGACATCACTCGCCGGCGGCGCGCTTCGTTGCCGGAGTAGAGGAAGAAGAAGGTGGGAAAGGAAAGGGGCAGGGTAAGCAATGGAGGGGGGCGGGCTGGCTCGGGTCGGGGCACGCTGATGAGCACGGGCATGCTTGTGTGGATAAGTTGTGGGTCCCACCCGCATGCGAGTAACTGGTGGGTCCCGCGTGTCATAACTCAAATTGCTAACCCTCGTGTTTTTCATTTCACGGTTAAACAGAGCCATGTCGCATTGGAGCTATTTACACGCTCAAGTGTGTCGCATCACAGCCATTCACTCGAACAACGTCGCACTCAAGCAAATTCACATCAAAAACGTCGCACAGGAGCTATTGGCCCCCAAAAAAGTACTGTTATATTGTAATCCTTGCCCCCCTGGTGCATCACAATTATCCCTACTCACTGTTTTATGAATAACTTGCAGCAACAATGTTGGGGTTGGAGGAGGCCCCTCCTGCGCATGCCCTCACAGCTGAGAAAACCTGTGACCCGTCTGGCATGACCTTCGCCTATATATGGTGGTGCAGGTGTGCTGGAAAGTACATCACACGGAGTTCACACCCTCCGCAAGCAGGTTGACGCTTTTAGGAAGATGGTCAAGGATGGGACCATCTCTGAGAAGCAGTTGAGTCACTCGGTAGCGCTCGTGGTCATCTCCGGCAATGATTATGCAAGCGCAAGCGTGATTGGTCTAAGTAGGCCCAGTGATGTGAGTATCATATCAACGCAGATTGTATATACATCAATACAGTAATTTGAAGAACTAATTTGTTTGTGCATCTTTCTAACTTAATTTTAATGTATGTGATGCAGATTAAAGCTTATATCGGAAAGGTGACAAAAGAGATCGCAGCAAATGTGGAGCAATTGTTGAAGCTTGGAGTGACAAAAGTTCTTGTCAACAACTTGCACCCTATCGGTTGCACGCCATCACAAATCCGAACCAATAACTACACTGTGTGCGATATTTTTGGAAATTTAGGTGCATCAATCCATAACGATAACCTAAAACAAGTCATGACAGTAAAGAAGAATGTTCACATCGTCGACCTATACACCGCCTTTAGTAGCATTGTGGATCATGCGCCAGGTATGTATGTATTTTCGTGCAAAGTGTCTCATTATTTTAAAAGTTCCTAACATAATTAGATGGAGTTTGATTGTGTGCTTGCACTACTTCTTATGAACTTTTTTTTATTTTATCCACATTAATGTAGGTAAAGGCTCAGATCTATCTAAGCAATTCAAGCGCAAACTATCGCCCTGTTGCGAGAGTTTGGATTCGAATGGCTATTGCGGACAACAAGGCGAGTCGTCCTCAGAGCTTCTATACACCGTATGCGACAAGTCCGACAAATTTTTCTATTGGGACGACAAGCACCCCACACATGCAGGATGGGAGGCTATCATGAAACAGTTGGAAAAGCCCTTGAAGGAGTTTGTAGATCAAGACTAGGTAGCTAGGTTTTAAATAAATTATTTACGTATGCATCCACGATGACAATCTTCTGATTGTATTTGTTTGATAGTTTCAAGTATTTCAAAGACTGGATTTTCTAGGATGAATATTAAATTGTATTTGCATCTTCTTTTGCGAAAACTATATTCATAAGATGTAATTAATATATATCATATGCCACATTTACAATAAAGATGTGTTCTAGCTATACAAGTCGAATACTTGCCTATATACGTCCGAATAAGCTCAACGCAATTCCACATCGATCGATTTTTGTTGTCAGCATGGTCTACCGGGGCAACATGTTCTAAGTGTGATGACGGGTGCCTTGTCGACGGTAATGGTTGTACGGTCATCCAGAGCCCTCGATGTATTTATTTTATTTGGGCTGCTTTGTATTTATGATGAACCTTATAATAGATCAAAGTCCTTTTTCACCAAAAACAAATATGATAGAAAAACTAAAGCCAATCATTCGAGCCTGATCACCCATTCTCACAAGATTAGAGGATGTTCAAATAAGGATAAGGTTTATTTTTGAGGATCTTCAGCATTTAATTAGTTCATCAGAAATACACCATCCAAATACACCTTTATGCTCTTCGAGATTAACTTGTTGGCTTACAAAAAACTAGCACCGAGATGCTTGTTTGCTTTTAGGACGGAACTCCCTGAAGGGCCGCTGCTTTTCCATTAAGAATGTAGATAGTTACAGTAGACTTCCGAATTAAATAACTGCAACTTGGGCATGTGTTGCAACTTGACAATAGACTCCACTCCATCAAAACTGTCGACTTGGGCATGCATTGTGACACTGTACATGGATGTCTCTTGTGCAGTCAACGCTTTTCTTGATTCAGCAAGGATATATAGATTTGAAACAATTTTAAAAATGGTGTTGTATTTAATTTTTAGGGGGAGCACAAGTACTTCCATGACAGTCCAACCGGCACTCGAGTGTAGCAAAATATGATATCAATATGGAAAAAGAAACGTCACTAGAAAGGGTATTCATTTTTAGACATAGTGGAAGGTCAAGAATTCGTTTTCTCATGTGAAACTCGTGCTTGTTCCATTAGCACTCCGGCTAAACAAAATATCCGGCCGCCAATACTCTCACATCATCGGCACACCTTTTGGCCATAGCAACCTAGGTCCGTGCCTCCTCGCTCCCATTGCCGGCAACTAATGTGCGATTTTATTACAAGTCCCGGGGTTCAAAGAAAGAATGACTGAAACAAAGTTTAGGGGTGCCCGCAATGTCACAATACACAGGGTCAAAGTCTGTAATCTGCAGTTCACCGGTCAATGGGAAGTCAAGAATTGGCAGAGAGAAAATAGATCAGAAGTCATGTGCAATAGAAGAGGTAACAGGAAAGGATAACCAAAATTAACAGCACTACCTAAACTACCTGCCAAAGGATGGAAACCGGGGGTAGGCCGGTAGGGTGTAAAGGTCAAAGGGGCCCTAGAATGGCAAAAACATTTGAAGAGAATAACTTAGATTTGGCGCAGATGAACCATACGGGGTGAAGTACCAAAAATTTTATGTGACCAAATATCAAATAGTGATAGATGCTTTCCTGAGGTCACTCATTCCGAGTAGTAATAAACTTATAAACTGGCTAAGGTGTCGGTATGTTACAACGCACACCTTGTGCCTCATTGCCAATATACGGCGATTTGTTATAGATGGCCCGGGTAAGTCCACTGCCAACCTCAAGTAATGTAAATTCATCATCGAGCATGGTTTTTTTTTGGCGGTCTATTCCAACAAACTAACATATACTATGATCATAGAGTCTAAATGATCACATAGTTTGAACCATTCACTACGGCGCTTCTAATATATGAAATGAGTAGTAGCTTGATGGTTATATATAGAAGCATATGTAGAGCAAGGTGTGGTTGGTTGGTGGCAATGTCATAAATCTAATAGAAGCACTTCCTTGTGGAAACTGGAACATGTAAATGTTGTACATATATATAGGCTACCGCATAAGCTAGATGGCATAGTAGGTCTTTCTCATCCCTCACCTCTCATGGTAGTGGTTGTAGGGTTCCTTCGTGTTGTCAATGATGTGGGAACGAGAGTAATGGGGAATGTTTTCCATCAACAACATTCACAGCTCTAGCACTGCAATATGTACAAGGGACGGTCAATGGCGGGTGCCTTGCTTCGAGGCAGTGACTTCGCCGACAAGGGTAACCTCCCTCTCGCCGAGCCCGTCACTGAGATGTTGCAGCAATGGGCCTATCCCTATGGCTCTGCATATGCCGACACCGATGGGTTTCCGCAACCAAATACTCCGTTCGGCCACTTCTCCAACTATAAAATCCAGTCTGATTTCTTCAGTCAACACTCAGCACTCAACACTATGTTATACAATTACTCCTTCTGTCCCAAAATGCAAGACCATTTTTTACACTATTATAGTGTCACAATGATCTTGCATTTTGGAACGGAGGGAGTATTATGTTACAGAAAAATTGTAATCTTTGGTGCATAATGGTTATCCTACTCACTGTTTTATTAATGGGATAATTGGTTTTATGCCACTAGTTGAGTCACCCACGGCAGATTTACCCTTAGTTGTCGAAAATTCTTGGTCTTGCACAAGTATGCCTGGTTCCCTTATGTTTTTGCCCTTCCGTCCCAATTCCGTCCGGTTAAAGGCATTTGACCATTAGGGGGACACTTTTCTGGACCATTCTGCCCCTCCTTACAACTTCAGTTAAAAAACAAAGAAAAAACAATGTGATGCTTACATATGGGCCCAACTAAATAAAAAATATAAAATAAAA